ATATTATATTATATGTGACCCTGGAGCACAAAACCAGTCATTAGGGTCAATTTTTTTAAATTGAGATTTATACATCATCTGAAAGCTGAACAAATAAGCTTTTCATTGATGTATGGTTTGTTAGGAGAGGACAATATTTGGCTGAGATACAACTATTTGAAAATCTGGAATCTGAGGGTGCAAAAATATCAAAATATTGAGAAAATCATCTTTAAAGTTGTCCAAATGAAGTTCTTAGCAATGCATATTACTAATAAAAAATTACGTTTTGATATATTTACGGTAGGAAACAAAAGATAACAAAATATCTTCATGGAACATGATCTTTACTTAATATCCTAATGATTTTTGGCATAAAAGAAAAATCGCTAATTTTGATCCATACAATGTATTTTTGGCTATTGCTACAAATATCCCCCAGCGACTCAACACTGCTTTTGTGCTCCAGAGTCACATATTATATTATGTTATGTTATGTTATGTTATGTTATGTTATGTTATGTTATGTTATGTTATGTTATGTTATCCTGACACAGCAACATTAGCTTGAATAAAGGTCAGGTTTTGTGGCAGTTGTTTGTCCAAACATTAGTGCAAGTGTTCAGAAAAGCGCTGCCTGTATCACATCACATCACGTCTCTGAAGACTGTTCGAGTGTTTGTAATGCATGAGCTTACAGGAGGACTCCTGAAGACGAGGAGAGAAGATCCTCTCAGCGCCAGGAACCTGCAGCTGTGAAGGGGCTCCACGTCGCCGCCCTGCAGGTGTTCACACACCCAACCCATGTGGACGATCTGAGGAGAAAACATCCGACAGAAGAAACCCATCTGTGTGTGCTCACATCCACAGCCTTTGGATTTCTGCTTACGTTCTGCTGCTTATGAATTACTAATCATAATGCAACAGAGAGTCAGAAGTCATGACACGATTGCTCTGAGATGTGTTATTTGTGATCTCTCTCATACTGTAATGATAAAAAATGATGAGGCTGCACAATAGGGATAATTACTTTCTGTCCTATGATTTAGATGAATATGTCACTGTACAAATGACCTACCTGATCATCAGCAGAACAGTATTTATTTGCCATTTTTATCTGAAACGAACAAAAACATTTACAAATCAATAACAGTACATTTAGTTATATATTAATTAATCCATATATTTCCTTATTTATTTATTTTAAAATCAATTGTATACCTTTGTACATTCCACAGATGTACTTAATAATAAAAACAATGATTATTATAATGATTATTAATAACATTATTATATATTTATTTTTTATTCTAGCTTAAAATTATACACTTTTGTACACCTCACAGATTCACTTTACATAAAAAACTATTATTATTATTATATGACTATTAGTATCAAAATTATTTATTTATTATTATTTTATACTTACATTTGTACACTTTCTTCACAATTCAAAAAAAAATATTATTGTTTTATTCAGAAGTATTAATTAATGAATTGATTTATTTATTTTGCATTACATTATGCTATTAAAAATTAGAGGGAAGGTTTAAATTTGCTTCATTGTCGTGAAAGTAATAACAAAAAAAGTATTACAATTATTTTTTTAATGCAAACTATTTATTTACGTTTTATTTTGTTGTTAAATATTGTCAGGAAAATCCAAATAATTATTATTATAATATGATTATTATAAACAGATTTGTTTTTACTTAAAATTGTGATTATAATAGCAATTAATAATAATAATAATAATAATAACAGAATTATTTATTTATTTTGTATTACATGATGCTATTAAGCATTAGAGAGGTTAAAATTAGCTTCACTGTCGTGAAAGTAATATCACAAAGTATTAAAAATGCTTCATTTTTATGCAAACTATTTACTTATTCATTTTATTTTGTTGTTAAATATTGCCAGCACAATTCCAGATATTTTTTTTGTGCGAGTCACCTTTATGAGGGAGAGTTGCACTCTGAAAACGCTTACTAATAATGCATTGCTTTTTGTAAAAATGCAGCATAAAGGTCTCTAGCGTTTCTCCAGATTCATGCTCTTTGGCCCCGATTCATAAGTCTGCTGCGCTCGAGCCCAACGCTTGCCAAGAATATTGCCTAACGATCTCATTTCCTGAGCGTTGTTTTAATTAGTGCATGCGCTGATGATCCAATGGCTTTTTCTGAGGCTGTCACACAGCTGCCTGTTTTACGTGCAATTACTGCGCTGACGTCAGCTAATGACGGAGACAGACGCTGATTGCTAAATGTCCAATTACCAGCTGAGTGTATGTGCGAGTGGAAGCGGATCTGTTTTTGTGCTGACCTATAACCTATAAACAGAGCGAGTGACACATGCTCGAGCAGCGAGGATGATGGGAGATGAGTGTCGTTTGACAGATTCTGACCCGCTGGCGTATTATCGGCTGATAAGTCGAGTTCGGCTGCGATTCACTGGCGCTCCAGTATACTGTCAATCACTGCTGACAAACAGACTGATTTAGAAAGATTATTACAGCCTCCAAAGTGTTCAAAACACGGGCCTGCACTATACAACTCTAAATATAATGACTAATTATATATGTTTCAATGTGACTTTTTAAATGATTTCATTATAGTTATAGGTAATTATCATAATTGATAATAAGTTTTATTTATAAAGCGCCTTTCCCAAGCTCAAGGTCACTGTACAAGGAGAAAATAAATTACTAATAAATATTAAATAATTAAAATAAAATAATAATCTAGAAATAAATGCCATATTATATCAGTTTGATAATAATATTAATATAATTTAATAATAATATTAATTATAATAAATGTATAATATAACCCAACACAGCAATGTTACTATAGTCCTAAAATAATAATCAAAAATTTATTGTAATGTTATTTTAAATTGTAAACTACATCTGTGAATTGTGTAAATAAAAAAGTGTAAAATTAAAATAAAATAATAATACATTGTTAACAGTAAAAAAAAAATCAAATTAAAGTACATCGGTGGTGTACAATTTCAAGTAAAATTATAATAAATGAAATGTTATTAATAATAATCTTCATATAATAAATGTACAATTTTAAGCAAAAAAAAAAATTAAGTAATACATCTTTTTATAATAATAATTTGTATTTTTTAAATTGTGTAGCACATCTGTGAAGTGCACAAAAGTCTATTTTAAGAATATATAAATTAATTAATCAATCAATAAACTATTTTTAATAATGAAAAATTGTCAAGACAGGATGGTTTTCACTCAAGATGGAAACTTAAGTTTATCTTCAGACGACTCCAAATCATATTTGTGAAGAGCAAAATACATGAAATTGTTTTGCTCTCTGACAAGGTTCATAAAACAAACCTGTGGTTTACAGAAAACTAGCACCAAAAGTAGAAATGAGACGTGACTTAAACTCTCCAGCGGATACACCTGCATCTACGCCACGTCCTTTATGCAAAATATGAGGTCTACATTTTCTCTATACATTTGTGAAATACAGCCTGGACGCGTCACCCAGAGTAACTACATAAAAATACGGCGAACTGTATCTCATGCCATGCTGCAGAAGGTCTGAAAACAGCAAAATTCCAGTTGCATATTCATATTTCATTTTGAAAACGGTCATAAAACCTGACCGGCATCCAGTCCAGTGCGTTTGCTGCAGTACTGTACATCAGTGCATGACAAGCGCATGGGGTTTAATTGTCTTCTTTAGCATCACGTTTCTGCTGTTGTCTATAGAAGACGGCCGGATCTGCTCTGATCTGATGGTTTCACTCACACTAATGCGGCAGCAGATAATGCATGTTACTTACGCTCTCCTGGGTCAAATCGTTGATATTGGTTGATATTGCTTGAAGCCAGTCTGTGCTTTCAGCTGCAGTGCAAAACTGAAGAACGTGCGTGCAAACTCCATCTAAGGCAATGACTTCAAAACTGTTCGATCTGGATGAAGAAAAAACAGGAATATGAAATATCAATTTCACTGATAACTCTAGAATACCAAGCTACCACACAAATCACAAATTATTATTATTATTATTAAAATGTTATACACTAATAATACTAATAATGATGCATTAATAGCAATACATTAAAATACATTAGCAATAATAATTGTTATTATTATTAATATGATCATCATCATCATCATTCAATTAAATATAAAAATGAATAATACTATAATAAATAGAATGAATAATACAAATACAAATAATGATTTATTTATTATTTTAAATGTATTATTTATTTATTTAATTGAAATTATTATTATTATTATTAAAATGTTATACACTAATAATACTAATAATGATGCATTAATAGTAATACATTAAAATACATTAGCAATAATAATTGTTATTATTATTAATATGATCATCATCATCATCATTCAATTAAATATAAAAATGAATAATACTATAATAAATAGAATGAATAATACAAATACAAATAATGATTTATTTATTATTTTAAATGTATTATTTATTAATTTAATTGATTATATTGATTGGTTATTATTATTATTATTATCATTATTGTTATTATTATTAAATTAAATACAA